TGTGTGTGTGTGTGTGTGTGTGTGTGTGTGTGTGTGTACATGTATGTGTGTGTAAACCAGAGGTCAACATCAGCTGTCTTCCTCTATAACGCTATCATTTGTTTTTGTGAGACAGGTTCTTTCTCATTGAATTTTAAACTCACTATTTCAGCTAAACTGGCCAGCCAGAAAGTCTCTGGGATCCTCCTGTCTCCATTTCCCAGCATTTGAATTATAGACATGTGCTCCCCCATGGTGTACCAAATTTCTCTGAAATAAAACATTTCATTTTGGAGGAGAACTTGTTAAGAAACAGGATGGCCTAAGGTAGGTGAAAAAATAAAAAATAAAAAAATTCATCCTACAGGGAATCTCTTTAAGCTCGGGAAGTGAAGAACTCAAAAGCTTCAGGAAGTCCAAGAAACTTGCCAGATTCACTGACTCCCTCTTTCTCAAAGTATCTATAAGCAGTAAGGTCTGCTGAGAGACGCTCTCAGACAAGCCTAACTGCCCAGAAGAGGCAGACCAGCCAACCTGCCTGGAAGGGGCTAAGACCACATGAACTACCTGAAAGAGACACTTTCCAACCCACTCAGCTGCCTGCAGTTGTGCAGTGTGCTCCAGATTCACAGTTTTCATGAGCTGATACCCAGGCTCAGATGGGCTTTGGTGATGCAGGTGTCTTTAAGACATCTCTGTTTTTGTAAGTAACCCCTTACCAATACTCCCATAAGTAACCCTAATAAAACTCATCAGTTGACTAAACTGGGCTTTGGTGGTGTCCTTATTTTGGCCTGTTGTCAGTTCCCGCTATGGGGTGAGTAAACGTTTGTCGTTTCTCCAGGAATAGTGCCAATGCCAACATGGACTTTACCCACTGAGTCACCTTCCCAATGTCATCTCAGTCTTCCCTATGATCGCAAATTGAAGTGTAATCTAGCGAGTGGTGTATTTTGAAATGAGAAACCCTGAGTTGGGTGTTACAAGTCTTGGGTGCAAGTTTGGGATCTTCTAACCAGTCTTAGGACTTGGGACTTCAACTCCGCCTCCCTCTTGCTTATCTGTGCATCTGACTGTTGGGTGATCTCAGCAACCCTTTCCAAAGATGCTGTTAACTGGAGTTTTATTTTATCTTTTTAATATGCATATACTCAAACAGAAGATCACAATCAATCAAAATATAATAATATCTGGGCAATCATTCATTGATCCTTCCTGTCTAAACTATTTAGTATCAGGTACTAAACACAATCTATACTCTTGGGGTCCATGAGTTAACACATTAGATGTGTTTATTGCTTTGCTGGAATTTTGCAATATTAACATATTTATTTACTTATTTATGTTTATCATGGAGTCTAAAGCAATTACCCATTCTTTTTTATTTTTTAATTTTTTATTTACAATTTTTATTTTTTGTTTTACATACTAACCCCTGTTCCCTCTCCCTTCCCTTCTCCTGTCCCCCTACATCCCCCCCTTCCCACCCCTATCCACTCCTCAGAGGAAGTAAAGCCTTCCTTGGGGAGTCAATAAAGTCTGGCATACCAACTTGAGACGGGACCAAGGCCCTTCCCCCTGGATCATGGCTGAGCAAGGTAACCCTCCATAGGGAATAGGCTCCAAAAAAGCCAGTTCATGTACCTGTAGGTCCAGGTGCCACTACGAGCCCCGCCCCCACCACCACTACTTCAAGCAACATAACTGTTACCCACATTCAGAGGGCCTAGTTTGGTCCCATGAAGTTTCCCCAGCTGTCACTCCATGGTCCATGAGCTTCTACCAGCTTGGGTCAGCTGTCTCTGTGATTTTTCCCATCATGCTCTTGATCCCCCCCCTTGTTCATATGACCCCTCCTCCCTCTCTTCAACTGAACTCCAGGAGCTCAGCCCAGTGCTTGGCTGTGGGTCACTGCATCTGCTTCCATCAGTTACTGGATGTGGATTCTACGATGACAATTAGGGCAGTCACTAATCTGATTAAAGGGGAAGGCCCATTGAACACCCTCTCCACTATTGCTAGGAGTCTTAGCTGGAGTCATCCTAGGGATACACAAGGGAGTTTTATTTTAAAATAGAGATAACATCTTCACTACAGATACTGCTATAAATGAGCAAAATCATGCTTCATGTGAGAAACAGTACCAGTTGATGGGTAAACACGCAATAGTATCTTGGTTTCCCAATTTGAATACTTGTGGGGACCCTAGACATGTAGAAGCAGGTTGTAATCTAATATATTTGTTCTAATATGTTTGTTTTTCAAATTGTACTTTTCATCAGAACTTTGGTTCTTTCTTAAAGATTTATTTATGTATGTATTTTATGTATATGAGTGCTCTACTTGCATGTATCACTGCATGACAGGAGAGGGCATCTGATCCTATTATAGATGGTTGCTGGGAATTGAACTCAAGACCTCTAGAAGAGCAGCCCATGCTCCTAACCACTGAGCCATCTCTCCAGCCCCCCAGAACTTTGGTTATTTATCCACTAACATCACAGGGTTCTTCAAACTCTCTAGAAACTGTCTCAGTGCTTGGAGTCCTCATGACCTAATTGTAAGAAATGTATGCAAGACACAGATACACACCATTTTGATATTACCCATTCCTGGTATCAGACTTCTCATCAAATAAACCCAAGAAGAATATTCATGAACACGATGTATTGCCGGACTGCTTTGATAAATTAACTGTAATTCGATCCCAAAACAGATTTAATTCACATTTAAATAACTGATCCACTAAGTGGCCAAATGCATCCATGCAAAACGGAAACTATTCTTCTAATGTTAATTCATGCCATCAGGTTCTACTTACATATGATAAAGAAACAATTACAAATGTGAATGGGCATACAGACTGTGAAAGTAGTTTCTCACACAGATTCAATGAGAGAAATATTTATGTGCACCCAAACCAAAAGGATGTCTCCCCTAGACCAGACCCGGCAGGAGGACCCTCCAGGTAACAGACCCTCACTGAGGGAAGTTGGGGCAGGAACACAAGCAGAGACACCTGGAGGCGGGAACGGAAGTAGAGGCCACGGAGGAACACTGCTTACTAGCTTGCTCCCTGTGACTTATGCAGCCTGCTTTCTTATACAGTTCAGGACCACTGGCTTAGGGGTAGCACTGCCCACAGTAAGCTGGGCTCTGCCACATCAGTCATCAATCATAAAACCGCCCCACAGGCTTGCCCATAGACCAATCTGGTGGGGGCATTTTCCCAGCTGAGGTGCCCTCTTCTCAGACAACTCTAGCTTGTGTCAATTTGACAAGAAACCAACCAGACAGTGTATATGTGATGTGTGGTATGTGGGTGATATATAAATAGGTTGTATATGATGTGTTGTGTGTACAGGGTATGTAGTGTGTATGTGTGGTGTGTGTGTACATTGTGTGCATTGCATTGTATTTGTGTTTATACATGGTGTGTGGTATTTATGTTGGTGTGTGTATGTGTGTGTATGGTCCACGTGTTGTATATAGTATGTATTGTGGGTATATTGGGTGGTGTGTATTTATGTGGTAAACATGTGTGATGGGGGTGTGTATATAGTGTATGATGTGTATGTTTTATATATGTGGTGTATATATATGAGGTATATATATTGTGGTTGGTGTGTTTACTATGTGTATGTGTGTGGGGTTATGTATGGAGTGTGTGTTGTATGTGTACATGTGTGTATGTTGTATGCTTATGTGTATGATGTGTGTGGTATCAGATGTGTGCATGTTGTATATATTTATGGTGTGTATTGTGCTGGATTTGTGTATAGATTGTGGTGTGCATACATATATGTGTGCTGTATATGTACATGTATGTGTGTGGTGTATGTTATATATTTATGTGCATGGTGTGTGTGCAGTACACAGTGTATGTGTGTTACATATGTGTATGTGTGTGCATTATATTGTGTGGGGTGTGGGGGGGTATGTATGTATGTGTGTGTGAGTATGTGTGGTACAAGTGTATGCTATGGGAGATGTATAGTGTATGGGTATATGTAGAATATATATGGTGTATATGTTGTATATGGTATATATTGTGTGTATATGTATAGTGTATGTGTGTGTGGTGTATGTACAAGATATTTGTATAATGTTTACTTGGTGTGTGTACATGTATATTTGTGTGTGATGTATATGTATATTGTGTGTACATATATGTATGGTATGTGTTATATGTGTATTTATGTGGTGTGTGTAGCATTTGCATG